TCACGGTTCGGCCTCGGAAGTAGTATCTTACCAATCGGTAGATGTTATTCGGACATCGCCATCTTCTCAGAACTCTCAGAATCACTGGCCACCAGGCGGAGTCGAAAGCTTCAGAAATATCCGGGAACAAGCCTACTACGTACTTTTCTTCCGTCTCTTCAAATTCTCTTCTCATATTCAGAAGTGCGTCTACAGTTTTAACCCTTTCCATGAATCCATACAGAAGTGGATATGCCTTATTTTCCCTATCCATCCATTCTTTCATCCTTTTTTACAATAGGTATTTTGCCTAGCTTTCCTAAAGCCGGTAAGAGGGTCACTGGCCTGTATGATTAACCTTAATTGGACCCTTTTCCTCGCTCTCCAGAAAAACTTTGACGTAATTTTTTTTCAAACGTCAGGTGACCTGCCTTCTCTCAGCATCTTGTTGCATGCACAGGTTCAAAAGCGTCCCCTTGATCCGTCCAAGCATTCTCCTAACCACTTGGTTCTTAATTCCATCGACACCTTGGGCTTTCATATCCTTCAGCAGTGCAACGCTTGCAGTTAGCTACCCTTCCGCGAAATCTTCCTCATCTGTTCCATTGCTTTCATCCGTCATCTTACTTCTGATTCTAGACTTTTACTTTTTCTCTGTATAATCCTCTTCCCTATCGTGTGGCAGCAATCCTTGTATCATTCTCTCTAGGGTCTCTTGCACTGTCTTAGTCATTGTACTGTCTTCTGTTTCCAGGCTAACCAGCACAGTATCCTTTTCAGCTTCTCTGTAGCAATCTTATAAACCTTTCCCTAGGGGTCACCCTCTTCCTCCGCAATTAACTTTTCCCACATCATCTTCTTTTTCTTCCTGATTCCCCAAACGTAATCTGTCCTTGACCTATCAAACACTCTCTGGTCGTCTTCCCTCCCTGTCCTTCTCCACATCCTACCGTTCCTTCTTATCTTTACTCGTAATTCATTTAGCTCCTCTGTCCACCAGTATACCTTCTTTGTTCCTACTATCGCTTTTGGAAAATGCTCATCCATCAGATTGTACGTCATTTTCGTAATCTTTTTTAATGCTGTAGCAATTTCAATATCCATCGCTTGTACACTCATTTGTAAGGCTTCATCAAATCTTGCCCAAATTACCTTCCTTAATCAGCATGACCCTTGTTCATTCTCATGTCTCCGATTAATTTGATTGTTATAAGCCCCTCACAATTTCATTGTTATAAGCCTATGATCAATCTTCATGAACCATGCAATCCTCTATTCTTCCCGTAAAATCCCTCGTCATAATCGTCGCGTCAATGTTTGATTTTCCTCCCTGCGTGTTTTTAAAAGTCGTCCATCTACTAAATTTGTTCACCACGTGCAGATCTTAAGCAAATACGACATCTTCCACCTTTGACCCTCTCTCATCCTTTGAACCACTGAGCTACAGTATTGATCTTGCATTTAAATCCCCTCCACAAACAACTTAATTTCTTTTCTTCCTTATTGTATCAGCAAGCCGTGCCAAGTGACCTTCAACGGGTTCCGACGGCATACAATAAAGTCTGATCACTTGCATTGACTTCCTATTCTGGTCTAATCGAACACTAACACATGTTCCGCTTGTTTCCTGAGCAACCACTATGGCCCCGATGCAAACCCCCCCCCCCCACCGATACCCGAATCATCACAATAACTGCACTCCAGATCTCTTCTCTTCCGCTCCTGTCATGAAATACTCTGCAACCAGCTATCATCACCTTTCTCCCTACCACGTATAGCTCTTGGACAAGGAGGACATCTAATTTTTATTGTATACATCTTCGGAGTGCTTCATCTGTAGCAGCCTCTTCCTAGATCCATTGACCGTTTCTACAATCAATAATCTATTTTTCATTTTGTCGTCTGATTGCCTTCTCATAGGCCGGACACTTCCTTGATCCAGCATCATGCTTGCTATTTTCCTTTTTATCTCTTATGCAGTTTATACATCTAGCCTTTTCCTTCTTACCCTTGTCGAGGCACCCCAGCAAAGTGGGGGCAAGATATAAGACCAGATCTGGTTGGGTCTTGGTGGTGGGTCTTGGTTGGGGTTGGTAGGGGTACTTTGGTGAAAAAATCTTCGTCTTACTACTCACTCGACCCTACCCCCAGCACTGCAACCGGTACCCGTATGTTTTATAGTTCGGCTAGTAGCGACCCGTCTGCGCGAACAGAAGTTTTGGCCGAAATGTACGTGTAGTGTTTCTCTCACTTTCCAGTCCGTGCAGCGCTTCCGACGTTCCTGAGTGATAGTAGCGTTGACGTAGATGACCCAAGCGTCGCCGTTCATAAAACCGATGTCTCTCGAGTTAAGATTGCGTTTTATTTTCATCTTTTTGGTAAATCTTTCCAAATCTATCTTCCGAACAAATTTTACAACAATGCCTCCTGGCCAAACGAGAAGTTGAGCTGATTTGATACGATAACAAATATCGATCATTTGGTCTTGGAAATCAAAACCTATGGGCTAACTACCTCTCCTACTGCCTCAAATGGCGTATCACCATCAACGCCGCTAAGACCCAACTTTGCTTCTTCAATTTCAACTTCCGTAGGATTCAAAGAACAAAATCTGAGCCCATTCATTTCAACAACGTCCGCCTGTCCCTCGAGAAATCCTGCACCTACCTCGGAGTCAAGCTTGACTCCAACCTATCCTTTGGTCCTCATCTCCGTGAAGCCAAGAAACGAGCCACTACTCGCCTCCGTGTGCTCCGAGTCCTAAACAACCGCCGCCGCCCCTGCTCCACCTCGACGCTCGGGCGTCTGTACTCCTCCGTCATCCGTCCCGTTCTCACCTATGCCCACCCTATTCTCTTAACAGCCCCTGAACGCCTTTTCTCCAGCCTGGAGGCTACTGAAAGGCGTGCCTTGAGGATAGCTTCCCACCTCCCCCCCCTTGGACCAGAAACCAGGATTCCTACACTGCCCACTCCATCCCACCCTTTGGGGATTTCCACCTTAACCTGAAGTACCTTGACCGTGCCCGCACATCCGAGATGCTTCAACAATTTTGCCAGCCCTATTTCACCAATCGCCCAAGTCTCAGCATCACCCACCTCACCAATCTCCCTGATCAATAGTCCCTAACACGCCCACCCAAACCGTAAACAACGACAGGCATTGCTTGCCGTGACCCACTACCTCAGTCCATCCACAGTTTGCAATAGACAGTAGTGATTAGTTTCACATGTTGTATGTTTTTGTGTAGGACAATAAATTAAGTAAATGGTGTTACCCTGTTAATGATTTTGTATATGGTATTGCATTAATAAAAATTCAGTGAACCCCCCCCCCACAACTCATGATAATATGTAAACCCGCAAAACCCGACCCAACCAAAACCAAACCTCCCTTTCCGAAAACCACACTCCAACCGTAGAACTATCCTCAATAAAACAAATACCACTCAACCCAACCACAACCGGCAGCAGTGGCGGAATAGCGCTTCGTAGTTACACACCCTCTCGTTATTTACACGTCTCTGCTACTGCTGATATTCTATCCTTTCCCTGGCTGAAGAGGACTGAGTCCTAAAACAGCCTCAGTCCGGTAGGGTTTCAGCTCTCTGGATTGGAACATCACGAAGAACGAAGAACGAAACCTATGGCACGAGAAATTCTAGACACAATATCAATCACGCTCTCGTTATGCTCATATGGCACACCATGAATTTAAATAATATTCTCCTTTGACTATTGTTCCAAGTTAGACAATTTCATCTTTAGATAGGCGACTTGTAATTTTAGATTTACATTTTCTTGTTTGATTGAGCTTATTTCATTGGTAAATTCAGTAACCTGTTTAGCAACTCCATCTAGCTTTTGACTTAACTATTCTACCCAATCATAGTGTTTTGCCATACTATAACACAAGTCTCGATTCGTTTTCGCTACCTCGGCTCTAAATGACCTCATTTCAAACAAGGGATTATGACGTCAACAGGAGGATCAACCTTATCGTCGTGCGTTATCATTTGGGTAGCAGAAAGCTTATTTCTTCGAGCCTCTTCAGTACCCTTTTTTGACCCTGGTCAGGATTCTTAAAACAGTCTTTTGCATGAGCAGTCTTGACTTTTACCATACTTGAAATAATATTGTTCTTTTGTTGTTGCAATACATTTTAAATGAAAAATCGCCTTACACATATTACAAGTAGCTCGATGAGCGTTGAACGAGAAACCCTTATTGCATATTTTACAGTTTTTGGGCAATACTAGACTAGGAAATTCAATATTCTTGTCCCTAATAGGTGTCAGAGAACGTTCATCATATGTCTTGGATTTTTTACAGCCATCGCATTTCACGGTACATTTTAAATTACTAAATAATCATGATCCCTATCTTTCATGTCATTGATACATTTAAAATGAAAAATTTAGAACACTCACCAAACTTAAATTTTTTTCCGATGTAATAATTTCTGCTTTACACAGAAAGCACAATATTTTAAAACACAAGTTACGTTTTTAAGGCAAATATGACCTAGAATGTGAGTGAGAGGGGGGGGGTGGAGAGAGAGAGAATTGATAATTTATTTTATTTTGTCTGCCACAGGTTCCACTCTTCCACTGCGACAGGCTGAAAAAAATTACAACTTTTACAAATCTCTTGTGGTTCTAACTTCTTGTTAAACACATGATAACTATCACTACTTCTTTTGTCATCGGATAACTTATTCATAAGCCTAATAGAATAACATTATATGTATTATATGTGATCGAGCCATTTATGTTTATATATTTTGTAGCATTATTGTAGTTTCGCTAAGAGTTTCGAGTGAGTTTTGTCTAGAATCGCAAGGGAATAAGTGATGCTTTGATTTGTGTTTTGCTTTGGGTGTTTGGCTACCATTGATGTTTACCGTAAGAGCCTGGTGATCAATCGCTATTCTTACGGCCGTGGTGATGAAATCTCAAATTAAGGAAATAATTTGCTAAAATATTTCGGTCAAGTGGAATTATGTCTACAATAGTTACTTACCAATTGATCGGTAGGGAGCACGGGCCTCGTCGTTCTTGAGTAGGAGGCCATTTGGTGCACCTTTAGCTTGGTAGAAGCCCTGAAAGTCGCCAGGATACAATTTTTAAGTACCGGTACTGACTGTAGTACTCTATATTAATTATTATTACTAATATTTATTTGCTCTTTAGTGAAAAGAACCTTATTTAAATAGGAGAAATACCTTAAATAAAAGTCTAGAGGTTTCCACTAAATATTATTGTTTAATTTATCATACTTTTAAAAGTAATTAACAATTAATTGTTTAGAGCAAATAAAAATGAACCGATTTGGTTGAAAAGCCTAAAAGAAAGTCGGTGGGGCACACGGAAGATTTCTCAGGTGCCGTTTGAGGTCACTAACTGCTGCGCCTGTAGAAACAGATAATTTTATAATTTTTCTATTATTAAATTAAACTGTCATAACCTAACCAAACTAACCAAACGTGCTGATAATTGAAAAATCGAATGAAGGTTTACTAATCTAAAAAATTGTTTTGTTCATAAAATAAAATTTTAAATGCCTAAAATTCAATTTTATAATTTTTAAATTATAAAATTGAACTGTCATAACCTAACCAAACCAACCAAACTTGCTGATATGAAAAAAAATTGTTGACAAAAAGTTAATGCTACCGGCGGGTTTCGAACCCGGTACATTCGGATTATCAGCCCGCCACGCTATCCACTACACCACCGAGGCCGATGGCTCACAAACGTATCGTTGCGGCATTAGTGTTCCCTCAAAGTGACGTAAGCAGTTAGTGACGTCAAACGGCACCTGAAAAATCTTCCGTGTGCCGTTTCGAAAAGCAAGTCTCTTTTGTTTATTTTTCTCTTCCTAGCAACCAAAATTCAATAAAACTATTTAAAACATCTGTCAGCTGATAGATTTGTCAGCTCACTACAACTCTATACCTTGTCTCTAATAAAGATGCATCATGTGTGCAGTTTTTTTTATGAATTTGGCATTCTATAAAGTATATTTTATATATATTTTATCCAGGGGGTGGCTAATCTCTCTCAAGTTGAAGCGCCCTGACGGTTATAACATGGCATCAGTAAACATTCTAGTGAAAACAAATAAAAAAACAACACGTTGGTGTAATTTACTGTATTTATTTTGTTTGCGTATCTATCTCAATTATGGCGCCTTAATAAAAAAAAATCTAGCATGCATTTTAGAATCACTAGGAAAATAGTATTCTTGCGTTTGCTGATGATGTAGGGGTTTTTTCACAGAACAGAAATAGTTTTGTGACCCTAAAGAGTTTTAAAATTGACCTTGTTGATGAGTTTTTTTATATATATCATAATATATATAATCACAGACACCACAATAAAAAATATAAATGAAATCCAAAATAATTTTGGCCTTATAAAACCTACTGGCAGAGTACCCGTCCTTCGTACCGGGTTTATTTTTTTAAGCAAGCATTTTTCTTGGCGGAGTCATAACTCGATAACCGCTGGATAGATTTTAACGTTTGAGGTGTCAAATTAAAGGTTTTTAACGTATATGTGCAATATGTATCAGAATATTAAGAAAGGGCATCACTTAAGTACAGTTAATGGCAACATATTGGGACGGTGGCGCTATTCGTCTACATTAGATCAAACGTTATAGTATTATTTATATTAGCTTATAATAGTACTTTGTTTACAACTAAACGTGTGGGCATGGTTTGAAATAGTTCTTCTTAAGATTAATCACAGATTACAACAGGACTCATTACCAATGAATACAACCCCTTTTTTAAGGGTTTTTATCCATTTTCATTACTTCAATAGCAAAGTCGGAATTTTTATTTTTATTTGAACATCTGTTTACTAAGTATCGTTCATAAATAAAGTATCTCCTAGCAACACTTGACGGACAATTGTTTTTGATAGTTAAATTTATTTACATTACATCGTATTTTACAGAAAAAATATGTAGTGTTGGCCATACGGTACCGTTCGGTACCGTATGATTAAGTGAATGTTTAAAAGTGCTTATTCACAGTGCAGTTACCCCGTTACCTTACCATTTTATCATGTAATTTACAATGTGTATCAACATTTCTTTGTAGTATTGTTTTCTGTTCTTTGGTTAACTTTCGTATCTTAAATAAGACGAAGAACCGTGAGTGGCCGGAGGGAACGCGGACGTGACTGCTTGCATCAGTGTCATACACGGACAGACGTTCCAAGTAGACTGCGCTGTAAGAGCACGATATTCCACCATTTTCTGGTTCGTTGTATGAGCACGTAATCCTTGCATCACCCTCCCAATGGAACATTTGACGGATACAGAGTGGCAGTACAGTATTGGACCACCGTGGTGCTTCATCCAACCTCGGGCAAATGCATGTTAAATATTTACATTGTGCTGGCTTACGTTTTAATTTCTTAAAAAGAAAGGAATACTTTCGAAAATACTGGCCAAGAGAGTTCAGTTTTTACTCTTTGTTGACATAAAGGAATGGTTCGTTTACCTCATTTGAGGAATTCACCATACTTGTTGGAAACTCCTAGTCTGAAAGCAGGGCTGCGATACCTGGATCCAGAATATTTGGATAGCTTTCGTCAATTCAATTCCGCCAATGCTATTGTCAGCTCCGAGGCTCATTTAGAAGAGAGAATCACGCATGGGATCTACAATTTCAAGATCCGTTACACATTTTACTATTGAATAGGTTCTCTGATTCCTCAAGAAGGTCATGATCTTAAATACGCAGATTTATATGTACGGCGGATACACTGGAACCCAACAGCGCATGAAATATAATGCAAACAAAAAATGTAATGGCAATCTTATGCAGGAAATAGGGCCAGACTTTGAAAACACCAACCCATTTTACAATTTTTGAGAATGTGGCAGAGATTTTTAGGGAAGTGAGCTTATTTTAACTGACTGTAGAGTGACTATCGATTGAGGTCTAGCTGTTTTCTTTATTCATTTATTACAAGTTGCAGTTTTGCTCGATTTCGAGCAACAGGTTACCCTGTATTTATGTTATACAGCAAGTATAACATGCTTATTTTGCAGTTACACTCATGCTTTGCATTTGCAATGGGGATCGACACGGTTTGAGAAAAACTGCTTCTTTAAATTTATGGAACGCTATAGTATAACACTTATACTATAGCCATAATGTTCTACCACGGTAACTAAAACAATAAAAATAAAACCATCAAACATTTGTACAATAACACAAATTATTTATGAACAATCCTACTTTGACAGTTCTCATTGTGTATCACAGTTTTTGTTGCTGCTTAGTTCAAATGCGAAATGCTTATGGTAGTCAGTCGCCGTTTAATTATACAGGGTAAACAACTTTATTGTGCTATAATAGGCAATGAATACAGAACCTTATAAGAAGCGAAACTTCGCTTGCCATAGGTATCTCAGAAACTATTAGATTTTGAGAAAACATTAAATTGGGGGACTCAATTCGTTTCATAATGATATTCAAAAATAGGAATTCCACTTTATAAAAAATGACCAGTTAATGCGTGATTGAACCCCAAACAAACAAATACACAAACGTTCACATTTATAATAACTAGATGAAACCGGTCGAAATCTTAATAATGAATAAATCAATTAAAATATGGAGTTTCAATGAAGGTTCTTAGAAAAATATATGGGATAACGCAATTCCAATTGAGTAGATATATCTAAAATTCAATTCCAAATTCAAGAAATAATAAAATTTATGTTTTTGATCGAGTATTACAACTCTTGAATTTAACTGATCCAAACAATCATTATCTCAAACGAAAGCCGTTATTTCTAGTATTTTAAGACCAAGACGTATAAAATAACTAAAATAAAAATGGAGTTACGTTTAATTGACTGAAGATAAGTCCTAAAACGATCATTATTATTGTTGATTCGTGATTGAGCAGCGTGCTGCAGGTACGTTCAACCCATCTTATTAATCAACAGCTCGAATGAAAGCTGATATTTCACTGAAGGTTCTTAAACCAAAACATAAAGGACGAAAGAGTTAGAACTAGTGAAATACATTTAATCTGAAGTAAAAATTGTACAAAATATATATAATTTGTATGTTTTGGTCGGGTAATAGTGTAGATACATAAATGATGATGCTTGATGGCAAATCTATGCGTGCGACCTTTAATTTAAGACCAAAATTGTGAAAAACTGTCTAGTAGGAGAGCCAAACCGACTCGGAAAAGAAACGCCAATAAATGTTAATACGCAGATTTATAGAATACTAGCAGAGTACCCGACCTTCGTAAGGGGTGGCATATAAGTATAAAATGCTTATTTCAGTTATGGGAGAGGACCCGGTTTAAGAAAATTTGTTTCTTTTAATTTATACGGTATGCTATAGTATAGCACATCGACCAAAGCCATAATGTTCTACCACTGCACTTAAACCAAATAAAAAAGTAAAGTTCTCATTGTGTACCACAGCTTTTTGTTTCTAGTTGGTTAAAATTAGCTGTTATTGTCATAAATGCAAAAAAATAATAGTGCTGCACCCTGTTGGTAAAATTTATAACTAATGCTATTTAACATCATAGAACCCACTTGTGCAGTTGAACCAGCTGCCACAATTCTTTAATTTATTTTAAACTCATAAAGTTGACATGGGTTAACATTGTTAACAAAGTTAACAACAAACAAAGTTAACATTGTTGAAAGGATTTTTGAGATAAGAATATGTCTAAGTTAATCGGGAATGTGAACTATCATCCTACCAAATTTCAACGCTGTCGGTTTAGTATTTTTCGCATTTACTTGCCACAATACTACTCACAAACACCAATCCATACATCCAAACTTTCCCACTTATAATATTAGTAGGATAAGCTACTCTAGTCAAAACTACGTTACGAGTGCTAACACAAATAAAATCATCCAATAATTCACCTAGTACACTGTATCGATTATAAATTTGAGCAATCAATAGTCAAGGGGTGTGAACGAGAACCAATAATGGTCCAGTAAATGATGAAGAAGGCTGGAAAATCAGGAAAACCCGAGAATATAAATTATCAGCATATATATATCCAGAATGTTTTGCGTTTTGCTAAAAACAGAATGCTGAAATGGACAGGTTATGTATGGAGGTAGGATACTACTTCCATTATTTAAATAAGGACAAACATTCCAGAAAGCAGTAGACTGCTTGGCAGTCCGAGGCTAAATAAGAAGTAAAATTGCTAAACGATACTGAAACATTTAGACAACACTTGAAGTAGACGAGAATAGAGAAGAATGAACGGTTACCGTTTACGTGGCAAAATAATGATCATGTTTCATGTGATGTTAGTTAAGGTAAGTTATAATGTATCCAAATCCGTGCACAAATTTTAACTATAAGGTTATGGAGTGTTTAAAAATTTAGCAATTCAGTTTACATAAATTACTGACACAAGAAAAAGGGTGGATAAGTATAAACTATTTAAAGTATTCCAAAAGCTTAATCATTATCTGTAAATGTTTTCTTTTTAGCGAATTACCCATATAGGGGATAAGCTAAAGTAGGTCTCATGGTAAGACCTGGACCCGGGACCGTTTATTTTTTCGTTTTGAGGTCAAAAACACCATCCGTTAAAATGCATATATATATACTCGCCTTTGGCTCGCTGGGGGCTCCGACTCCTAGGCCCCAAGGGAAATGCCTCGGGGGCAGGATGTTTTACGGGAATGTTTTCTGCGTTAAAAACTAATGATAGCTTGGTAGTTGCAAAGTATTTCATATGTGAGTTGTTTATTTATCGGGGCATCAAACAAGTCTTGACAGAGTCCCGATGTGAATGTTATGCCATTGACTATTGGATTAGTCAAATGTATGCTCTAATACTTAAATTCTCTAAGGCACTAACTGTAAAACTTTTTCAGTTCGACTAGTATAACAATAATGATACAATCTCAGGGGTTAGGGTAGTAACAATATTTTAGATTGTCTGAGGCCCCCTTGGTGGTGAGGGGGGGGGGGTAATATCATCGGTATGAAGAAGAATGGGCCTCCTTTGGGGGCTGACTTCGCTGCAACAGAATTTTTAAATATCTTGAACGTATATGAACAGTTAAATATATTTTTTTTAAGGGGGGGGGAATCAACATGGGATTCGTCACTATCTATTTGTTCTATTGATTTATGCCCATGAAGACTCACTTTATTACCTCCCCTGTAGAAGCTGATCTAAGTACAGTACTCATAAAATTAAATACTATTTAAATTGGGAATAAATCTTGCAATATTTTGAACAACAACAATAAAAAAAATATATAGAACGTCTAGAAACAGTTAAACACGATTTTCTTTAAAGGGGAAGGGTCTAAGATGACGTCTAACTTGTTTCTGTTGATGAACGGCCATAACCAATCCACTCTCATAATTTTATCAAGTCTAGTCTGCTTGTCACTGCATTCATATTCTCCATAAGAAATAAGTTTAAAACACACCCAAAAGAGAAATAAACATCAGAAAAGAGAAATGGGAAATCTAAAGGATTTTTTTAGGGGATTGAAATATGAAAAGGTATCTTTTTTGAATTTTCCGGGTGGTTTGGGACCAAGACGGACCTCCACAAAAATTTCAGATCCCTACCTATTCTATAAGTGTGTAAACATTTGTATACCTGATCAGTGAGTTACATACTAAATGAGTGACATATTAGATATATATTTCTGTTAGCACGATAACTCGAACAAAAATGATCTGATTTGGATAAAATTCGGTATAAACGTGTAAACCTACATTTACTCAATCGAGTTTGCGAATCATCATGATCCAACCATGGGAACGAGGGATTATGGGGGTTTTATGGGGTAAATATGTTTGTTTTCCATTTTTGACCCTAAAAACAAAGAGTTTTGCACTAAACCATTTTGTGGAGCTTAAAAAAATAATAATTTAGTGTGATGAGGCGCTGTTGTATGCCTAACAGTTATAAAGAAAATAAAAAAGTGTAATTTAAAATTCCCATGTCATTCTTATGGAGAAAATGAAAACTGTTGTAGTTTACTTGTTTATGGATATATGTTAATAAAATTTGGCAAATTTATTTATTTTATTCTATACTATTGACGTATGGTCAAAAACACGTTTTACACCTAAAGCAAACCTAAGCACTCGATAAATCTAATGTTATTTAAACTGGCTGTTACCCACGGATTTCACCCCGGTTGACTTCATAAGTTTTAATAAAACTATTGATTGGTTAAGTCAAGCTGAAATAATAATAAAAAATTAAATAAAATAAACAGAATACGGTAATACAAACAAATAATCACACCTGATTTTAATAAGTTGTAATTTTAAAGAATAACAAACAAATAAGTACAGCCTGGGTATTTTTAACATTAGGTATATGTAATACAGTTATATGTAAAGTTCCCTTTAGAAAGTAGTTACAATCTTAAAGGGCAATTATTTATGAAATAATGGATAGTATTGCGCAAGGTTTCTTGTCATGACGAACATTTTAAGTATATGGTTTATAGGGGTTTGACTCGTAGTTTTCTCAAAAGTCCATAGGTACTTTGAGATTTATATATGGATTGTGAATAAATATGTCTTATTTATGGAAATATTTTAGTTAAAATTTAATCAGCCAAGTTGAAATTAGTCTGCAGGTTTGCTGTGGCGGGGGGTACTTCACTTCTAATCTACTACAAAGATTTTTTTCTTTTTCTAACTAACTATAGTTAACATAAATCTATGGCTGTAATATTTACCAAGATCACAACGAAAGAAGAAACTAGAACCAAACGAATCATCTTGTTTTGGTGGATCCAAGACTTGTACTGTGGAAACTTTTTTTAATTTAGGTTGAACAATTATTGACAATTTTTGCTCACACACTTGTCATGTTCCTATTGGTTGTAAGAGGTAATACACACTTGTTATGTTCCTATTGGTTGTTAGAGGTAATCGATCACACTAATCATTCAACTAAACTGTTTTGTTAATTACTGTTATGTCATTTGCAAACAACATGACAGTTTAAACTGCCTGACTATCTACTTTTCATAGAAAAATAAATTTAAAAACGAACATGTGAAAAATATAATTTTTTATTTTACTAATAAAAGTTACATGTATAAAAAATACATCTATTAACACTGTAGATGTAGGCTATGTTTCAAGAGTGATGTTAGACGTATCATTAATTTCTCTTTGCTTGAAAACGTTTGTATTAAAACGAAAATTTACAATGTTCCATGTTTCATTTATCATAAACTCTATCAAGACCTCCTCAAGAATAATATATATATATATATACGCACGATAAATTGAGTAATTTTTGTCCGATTTTGATAAAATTTTGTTTGAAGGTGTAAGGCGGGATAAACTTGAATGAGTTCGCGAACCAGCATGATTGGACCAGGGGAACGGGGTTTAACGGGGGGTTTTATGGGGTAAAAATGGTGTTTTCTCATTTTTCCCCTTAAACACACAATTTATAAATTTTTCTCCAGATCTTTTTAAAGAGCCTAAAAAACTAATAATTTAGTATATCAAAGTGTTTTTGTACGATAATTGGTTACGGAGAAAATTAAAAAAAAATGTTAATTTAAAATTCCCATGTTATTCTTATGGAGAATATTATGTTGTAGTTGGCTTGTTTATGGATAAATTTTGATCAAACTTGGCGTTTTCATTTTTTTCATACTAAGCTATTGATATTTTAATAAAAAACACACTTTATTAGTTTCCCTGTAGCAGCTAACCTAGGTACTCGTTAAACATAAATGTTAATTTAATAGATTAATAATTAAAATTCAATCCAGGCAAATGGAAATTCGCTAAGTCGGCAGGTTTGCTGCAGCGGGGGTATTTTAATTTATGATTTAGGTTAGGTTTAGTTGAAAAAGTAATTGAATACCTCAGCTCCAGAAATGTATTAATGGATCATAGGCTACTGATTCGAACGCTGAATTCAAGCAATGACCAAATATTTTCTCCTTTTTCATGTTGACAAAAAATATCTGTATCTCGGACAATAATTTCAGTATTTCTTGGCACAAATAATCTACAATATTTTAAAGTATGGTTGTGTTTTTCAAATGCATGTATTTAAGGTTTTGATACAAGTATTAATTTTCTTTGAAAAGCACAATGTATTTGTAAAACATTATTCACTACTTGCCATAAGCTTGATGTGGGATGAGTGATCTACTTGATATACCCTGTATTACCTGGGTCGTCCATCATTGCACGAATGACAAGCTCAAGTATGAAGTTACTACACACACCCAGCCACAATATTAGAAGCTAAAGGGTGGTTTTTATAAGAGGTTTTACCAAAATATTATTGTTATAAGGATTTGTTAAACAACCTTATACATTGGCACACTTACTTTAGCATATTTCTTTAATCTATGTCTGTTATTGATTTCGCTGTAAATACATAAGGTTTTAGTATCTTATCTCTTTGAAAGGTAAAAGTACAAAAAATGTATTTAGCTAAATATTCATAAACTAGAATTTGATTAATATTTTTTGTGCTGGTTACCTAATGCAACAAACTAAGCCTAAAACTGCAATGGAGCTTGGAAACATAATGTATAAATTGTTAAACGTTCAACTACTAATTTTAACAACTATTCGATGGCTGCCACTAAAGAAGGGCAATAATACAAAACAATTAATAATGGTCTACATTTTTAGTAAGAAAGACAATTTGAAAATTATTACAAAAGTAAATTGAGTGTTTATTTAAAGCACTCCATTATTTCGCTAAGCAATATTTATCACAGTACAGAAATATTTCCGAAAAATAGTTTGATGGTAAATTTTATGTGTTGAATGGCATAAAATTCCACTACTCATCTAGACTGAAGTTAACTGAGATAGAAGCAGATTTAGTGATAGCCCAGGGGAGTGCTTTGTGGACAGCAACCACGTCTGTCCCTTATCGAAACCTCTGGGCTTGTCGCTATAATTTCCTTTATGTGGATATTACAGGAAAGGTGAAAACAAATAATGAAAAAAACATTATCTTCTAACTAATGTATAGAACAAGATTTTAGTTTTCCAACAAGAAATATACTAAAATAAATATATTAAAAAAGTTTCTTCGAGTTTGTTATCGACATCTTCATGACTTGTACAAAGAATAAACAATACGAGTCACCATTTGTGTATTTTTTAATGTAAAACATCTTACTATTTGTTTACTATTTAGTAAATTTAGTTGTCCTAAATAAGATTTGTATGATAATAAGTATAATAAAAATAACAAGGCAGTACTATCCTGATAATTAGACTAATTCGTAAATTACAAGGAAAAAATGTGGTTCGGATTCCACTATAAACTGTAGGTCCCTTAGTTGCCATTAGCTGTATGGGCTATTAATTAACAGCTGTGTCTAAGGAACATGTCGGCCTTAGTCACTAACAAGACTACAAGATCGCGCCACTCATCCTACACTCATCCTTCACTCATATTTGGGTTAAAATACGCACATAGTAGCGTCCCCATCTAAAATAATTGATAATTGATAATTGATAATTGATAATAATTGATTATATACCAATATAAGGATCGGTAAATTCGACAACGAAATGAACACTTTGAAGATGGTTTCAAGATTATTGAGCAATCGTTGTTAGTGTGAGCAGAGTTTTTAAGCAATTCAAACATAATTACATAATGTTAAATTTGAGGCAAAGATATCTTTTTTGACATATTGCTGTGGTAATCACAGGGCTAGGAGACTAATATTGTTTGATTAATGTTTTGTGTGGTTTGGTTGGATAAATCCAATGGGCTAAGCATAACTGCTGTGGAACAACAGAATGTATGCATTGTTAAACGTTCCGTTACTAATGTTTCCAACTATACGGACATTCAACGCCACTGAAGTGTTCTGACAGTAACAATATCTTTGTTAGTTTGATCACGTAAAAAGCAAAAATATTCTATATATTATTCAAGAATCAAGAAACTTTATTTCCACAATATGCAAGTTAAGATTAAGGGAAAACGTCATGCTTAAAACAAGAAAAAGCGTGCAAGGTTTCTTACCAATATAAACAATTGCATGAAACTCTCCATGCAGAGTAATAAGATCAAACGAAACAGCACACTTCAGTCGGTTTGAAAACAACCAAAAATCTACTTACATAGGCTTCTTCCAAGTAAAAAAATTATCCTGTACAAAGGGTTTGCCAAAAGGAGCTCCTCAACCCATTTCCTGAATTTTGGGTCTAGCAGGTTCCTAGCCTTAAAGGGAGTTTAAATGGTAACTAAATTCCCTCACCATTAGAACATAAAAAAAAGTTTGTTGTTTGTGTAACCAGTGCTCGTGTTACACATTACATGTTTTCCTACAGTTACTACAAGGCATATAAATAGATGTCTTTCAAACACTAAAAAACACGTATTAGGTTCGTTTAAATCCAAGCGTTGGACGAAAATAGAATGTTGACACAAAACAACAGATTAAACCGTAGAATAAATACTCAAAGGCTGTGAAACACTGAAACAGCTGATAGTAGTCGTAGTATTTTTAAGTGCTGCGGTAGATATAAACTCAATGGTGCTGCCAACTTATTTTCAAGCGTACATGTATTACATGCCTTCAAAAACCCACTGTCTTGTGTTGTTTGATTGGAATACCGTAATGCGGCAAAGTAAAATGAGTGCGTAAAAAGTAAGTAAATGCAACAATTAGCTACAAAGGGGTGCTATAATCAGTGCAAGGAAGCCTGCTTTGTCAGGCAACTTTAGGAAAAGTTATTATAGTCTTAAATATAACATGATTCGCGTACCTTGCTTGATATTAAGTGTATTTGCATGACACTCCAAGCTTACTCATAATGCCTAATAAAAAATCTACTGCAACCAAAAGTAAGAATTTGGTAGAAAGAAGTTGTTTAAATGCATCCACAGCATTTGCAGCCGGTAAAGACAGAATAAGTTTAAGATAAAGAGATTTACCAGATTGTGAGAGCAGACGAGACGGGACTACAGAATGAGCTTTTACTTCTCGTGGAAGTGCCCCTGTGGGTATCATATTTATGAATCTAATTAGTATTTATGATTTCGTTAAATTGAATGAAAAAAGCCAGACTGTAAAAATAATTCACGGTTAATAGAAACATATCCCTGTTTCATTTACAATTATTTTTAGTTTGTATACTCGTTGTACGTAATTCATTCATTCACGAGCATAAATAACGTCTCCAAAAATAAAATAAAATAGGGACAAAATGAAAATTTTAGAAAGCTGTTTTTAAAATTTGCTGCGAGCTAAGGCGAAAACTTAATTAATTTACATCACAGCTTGGTTAGGTTCCATAATCCTTATATAATATATTTTTCGTTGATAATAAACAATATTGGCCAAAACACTTTATTAAAATAAAAAATTTAACATATACTCGTAATATTCAACAATTTTATTCTAATGTAATGTACGTACAGGACAGGGTGGCTGAAAAGTAACTTGCACCCCTCCCCCTTAACTTTTCAACCATTTGAGATATTTCAAATCTGTTTGTGGCAACCTTCTTAGCTATGAGGGGCTACAATAATTATGGTCAATTTTGAAAATTTTGCCCTTAGGGGTAGCGGGGGTAGGGGGTAGCTCAAACTTTTCAAATGACAAGTATAGTCGAGTTTGGTATCATTTTACAGGTCTGGACAAAACATAACAATTGACATAAAGAAAATCAAAATCAGCCCACTAATAACAAAATGGCACCCTACAACGTTTAAATGTTAAATGTTTGTTATTAATGGTCCGATTTCTACTTTCTTTAAGTTAATTGTTATGTTTCGTCAAGACCTGTAAAAAGATACCAAACTCAACTATACTTGTTATTTGAAAACTTTGAGCTACCCCCTACCCCCACTACCCCTAAAGG